AACTAATGCCGCGTGGGCGAAATCCTTAGCGTGACCTCACAAGTGTGCATGCGTGAAGATTTTCGCTTCGATCGGCGGCTTTTGTTCCCGGCAGTTACGCATAGAGTACAGACATGTAGTGCGCACTCATTGAATTTTCGTTTTCACGCAAGTTGACCGAACGCATCGAGTAGAGATATTGCACCGAGCTTTCTCGATCAAGATCACCGCGCTACTTGTCCGATAGGCTCCCTACTTTCCTCATTTAGCACCGTGTGACTCTTGACTTTTTTCTCAATTTGAAAACCACGTGATTTCCATGCAGTTGCGCTTCCGCCAGCACCTTGGGAACAATTTTCGTCGATACTTTCCGCATGCACAAATCCTCTCCTCTGTTAAAAAGGAAGTCACTGATCCTGTGCTTATTCCCTCTTCGTTAACAATTTCCTGAATTGTTACACGGCGTTTTTCCACTGAGGCGCGGCCATGTTTGAAGTGGTTGTTGTTCATAATGACGGTCGTCTTCGAGTATAGAATCCAGAGGTTAGCAGTGAATATTTCGAAGACAGTAGGGAAGTGCTGTTCAGGTTAGCAGTGGATATTTTGGTAAAAGTAGCAGAGCATAGTTCATCCTTCTGTTTCTCTTCGCCTGACAAGCTGGACTGGAAATTCGGTTAGAGTGAACAAAAATGGCCGCCTTTATACACGACGGATTGAATGTTCTACGTCTTCTGATCGGTTAACCTTCTATTGGTGGACTATAAAATGAATTAAGTCATTTGAGCTAACTCACTAGTTACATATATATACACAAAAACTGTAACAGTGGTTGTACCAAGATTTGACGTGAATTTTGCACAATCCATCATTGCCTGCTAAATATTCCGTTTGGTATGAGCTTTTGGCAAAACTTGATGCAATATCTCTGACCGATGCGTCCTATCGTCTAAAGTCAAAAACTGAAAATCTGACCATTGCAAAATCAACGACCATTCTCTTTCAAAAAAGAAATGATGCGACCCACTCGTTTAAAAATGTTCACGCATTCACAGGAAGAATAGTGTCTCCATCCACCCAAACGTTTTTTTGCCGAACACAATTCGAATTTAGCTTGTATATATATAAAGTTTTTTTTCCAAAAACTTGAAGCGATTTTTAAATGTGAATTAAGTTTAAGCGTCTAATGATTTTTTTCAATTCCCTTCAGACATTTAGGCGATATTATTTTTAACACATAATTGCAGTGACTTAAATAATCCAATAGAGAAATAAATAAATTGTCGCCAATAACACTGATTTATTTACTGCTGATCCGTCTTAATGAAACACCCTTATATAAAATCCCACATAATGAAACACCTATTATATATATATATATATATATATATATATATATATATATATATATATATATATATATATAAAAGTTGAAATGTGTGCATTTTAAACAAATGAAATAACTATTATACTATTCCGTCCGTTGACATATTTGGGACGATATTATATATTAAGTTCAAACTATCTTATGCGTAACGGAAAATTTGCAAACATACGCGGAAGTTTACTTAGTTAACGGCCTTTTACTGATCTTCTTATCTTCGTACTCATCTCAAATTACTGTGCAAAAGCAAAAGAAGTCGTTAGACACTTTTGAAAGTGAAGCATTTATTGAATTCTTTTTTAAAAAATTTGTTTAAATTATTCAAAAAAGCAAAAGCAAGTGTTGTTTTGATATAGTAAAGTTGTAATAATAATTAATTCTTGTTTAAATAATGGAACAAATTTTAAAACGTAGCCTTTCTGCTATTGTCATTGCTATTTTTGTAAATAATCATGCTTTTTAAAACCCGAAATTAACTAAAAAAACAAATTTTGAACTTTAAAATAGTCCATTCTAGCACTGTTTTTTTATTTTATTTTATAAATAACCATGCTTTGTAAAACCCAAAATTTAATAATCCAAAACTTAGGTTACTTTTTAAATTTCGAGCATACATATCATATTAAATTTTGCGCATTGCGTGCGCAATAATCTAGACGAGTGAGGTTTCTGCGTATGAATGCCCGAGGCAAACGTACACTATTGTGCAAATTAATTAGAGAGGAAGATGTGGAGGGCCATGATCACCTACATCTTTGTGCAAATTAATTGAAACAAAACGAATAATTACGTTTTTTTTTGTTTTTTTTTTTGTATTTTTCGAATGAAACATGTTAGTACTTCGTATGTCCATTCCACGATGTCATTCCTTGTAGAATGACCCATAGATTCTCGATTGGATTTAAATCAGGAGGGTTTCTGATCCAGTCTATAGTGCTTTGATTTGCTCACTGGTAAGGCTTGCCATTGTGTTCGTGCAGCGTTACAATTTTCGTACACTTTCTTGGAGTAACGTCCATAGCAGACAATGGCCATAAGACAACTGATCGACAGTCGAGACAATAGTGTCTGTGCGTGATAAAAATCTGATGCAATCATGGATGACGCAATATTTTTGAAGGCCAAACAAATTTCATCATAAACCCCGAAAATAGATTCATATTACTGCACACCATTGCAAATGATCTAATCTGATGAAAAAATAGAAATCGATTACACCCTGTCACTCCAGTGGGTCCAAAACTGATCGTACGGTGAAAGACAGGAAACTAAAGCCGTTGTTTCAATCAATTTGTACATGGGTGTATGTAAACAACACCAGTAACGGCTGCCGGGCTGTAGACGCGACGCGAATAAGGCCCAAATTATATTGTCGGTAACTCATAAACGATAGATTTCCGCAAACCTGTGTTGTTATTTTCGAAATAAGCATGCAAATTTACACCAAAATGATTATTTATTTTAATTGGTTTCCGGGGCTTAATCTGCAATTTTTTACCCGTGTAACTAAGGGGGGGGTTACAAAATGTGAAAGAATAAACGTGAAATATGTGAATTTAAGCGAATTCAATGTGAAATATAAAGGTGAAAGTCTATATAAAAAAGACATTATTAAAGAGGATTTACTAAAGGTGAAAGACTATACAAAATACACATTATTTAAAAGTAGTTACTAAAGGTGAAAGACTATATAAAAAAGACATTATTAAAGAGAGAGAGCAATAAAAGAATATAAATTAAGAAAGCAAAATATAAATATGACATTGCATTTAAATTTTTGAAGATCAAATTTGACTGTTAAGTAAAATGCCAGCGGAGAGTTCCACAAGCGAGAAGTGCGAGAAAAGAAACTGCTAGCATGGAACTTACGGTAATATTTAGCCATTTCCACTGTAAAATGATGAGACCTTGCCGCCAATCTAGTACTGCACTTAAATTCATAAAGTCTAAGTACCATAGAGAAAAGTTCATCAGAATAATTACCATGAAATATTTATAGAAAAATCACTGGGAAGCAACGTTACGGCAGTGGGAAAGAGACCAAGGCCGAGATGCCAGGTCAGGACAAACAAAATTGCAGATCCTTCTTTGGATTTTATCTAGGATATCTAAATATATAACAGGAGCACCAGATCATATGTGGGAGCAATATTCGCAGTATAGTCAAATTGTAAATATTTAAGATAAATTCTGGCGAGAAAAATTGTCTCGCGCTACACAGTGAACCAATTTTATAGCAGCAAACTTAGCAATTGATTCAATATAATTTTTCCTCTTCATCTCAGCCCGAGAAAGCACAATGAGTCACTTTGCTGGGGGTTAGCATTAGCCAGGATGATGAAAGGGGAAAGGTTTTTCTCAAACCGCTAACAGAGAATATACCTTGCCTCTGTTAATATAACGAAAATCATTTTTTTTAGATCAGCTTCCAATTTGATCTTGGTCAGGGAGCACAGTTATAGCCTGCTACTTAGCGTAAACTTAGGGTTGGGGGAAAGTGGTGAACTCATAGCTTTACCCAGGGCAATGTAAGTGCAACGTACTCGGATTGAATACGAATTTGGTTCGCCGATTCTCATCCGAAGCCCCTTACCATTACACGACCTGGACATAGGTATGCAGAACGCACGCACATGCGCGTACACACACCCACACGCACACACCCACACGCACCCCCACACCCCCACACACACCCACACACACCCACACACACAAGGATGTAGGAAAATGATTCAATTACACACCGGGATTATTTTACATGTTCAGAAACCAATTATCGGCATTTATTCCTATCGAATATAATCCTAACATATGATTCATAGTGGTATCTGTATGTCTGTCTATCTATCTGTCAATCTGTTAATTTATATCTGTTTATCAACATAGATTTTACTATCTATATTTTTGTACATCTAGTTTATAAGCCAGTAACGCTCCAAAAGAAATGCTTACCATTTTATATATACTGACCCAGAATGCCAAAGAGGATTTTTGATGGCATGTCGACGTAATTTCATTCTTGTCAATAAAAACATGATATTTAGCCTTATAGATAGCAGCTAATAGGTAATCTGGTAAAATGGCGTCTGATATAAAAGCGTGTACGAAGCAGATAAAGAAGAGACTTGAAGCGACAGAGATGGGCGTTTACCGACGAATGGTGCGAATAAAAGAGACAAAACATGTCATCAACGAGGAAGTCTTAAAGAAAATAGGAACAAAAAGACATTGACCCGTACTATCAGAAAGAAATAATTGAAAATTCTACACTAGATAATGAGGAAAGAATGTCCGGAGAATTTAATACGCACAAAAATACTGAAAATAAAAAAAAATGCAGGAGGAAAACAGCAAGTAAGGAACGAGTTTATGTACATGATGGCCAAACGAAAACGGAACGATCATCGGGCATGGTTAAGCAACGTCGAGACTGGTCAGTACCAAGATGGGTGACCGCTTGGGAATACCAGTTGCTGTAGGCTTGGATGTGCTGGTGTGTATAATAATCCAATGGGCATATCCCGCCGTAAGATTCGTACGATCTCCGAAGTTAAGCTACGTCGAGACTGGTCAGTTCCTAGATGGGTGACGGCTTGGCAATAGTATGCGCTGTAAGCGTGAATGTGCAGACAATATGATTTACGACCATGTCACCTGGAAAAACCGATTCTCGTACGATCTCCGAAGTTAAGCAACGTCGAGACTGGTCAGTTCCTACATGGGTGACGTCTTGGCAATACTGTGCTGTAAGCTTGAATGTGCGGATGATATGGCTTACGGCGATGTCACGTTGAAACACTGATTCTCGTACGATCAGCGCAGTTAAGCAACGTCAAGACTGGTCTGTTCTTAGATGGGTGACGGCTTGTCAATACAATGTGCTGTAAGCTTGAATGTGCGGATGATATGCCTTACGGCCATGTCACGTTGAAACACCGATTCTCGTACGATCAGCGCAGTTAAGTAACGTCAAGTCTGGTCAGTTCTTAGACGGGTGACGGCTTGTCAATACTGTGTGCTGTAAGCTTGAATGTGCGGATGATATGGTTTACGGCCATGTTACGTTGAAACACCGATTCTCGTACGATCACCATAGTTAAGCAATGTCGTACCTGGTCAGTACTTAGATGGGCGATCGCTTGGGAATATCAGATTCTATAAGCTTGGATGTTCCGCCGGTTTAATGGATATTGTTAAAAGGAGAGCCCAGCTCCAATTCCAGTCGGATTCGTTATACGGACCTACGGGCAAATACCCTTAGGAAAAGATATGAACCAACCTCTTTTCCCACACTTATGAGTTAATTAGTACGGCTTGTATCACTAAAGCATTATTATCTTAAAAAAAAAAAAAAAGAATTCTTACGTTCTAAAAATATTTCCTCTGCTTTAAATAACCTGCAAAGAGTTTTGAGTTCAGTACCTGGCTACGGCAGTGGCAAACCAAAACTTGGAGAGTTGAATTAAAGGGAGATAACTGAGACATCCAGAAAGAGGCATGGTACGTGGAACTAGAACAATAAAAACCCCGGTGGACGAATTAAAGGGTTCAGTTCGAAATCCCAATCACCTGAAGAAGTCTGAAACGTACAACGACCGAAGCGTCGTGAACATGGTAAAAAAATATCTTTTTGATTTTAAGTAGTCCTTTGCGTTTCTATTTTCCTTAAAACTTCGGGATGATAAAGGGTTAACATTTACTTCGACATAATAACAAGATGTAGAAGAGGTATGATCGCCCATGTCCTGTAAGGACACGGCTCCTAAAAGAAGCATCAATAGCCAAACGAAAAGACAAATACTGTTGGAGAGGACAGTACCCTACTCGGCTTAAATTGTCCGTAAATGTGGTAGAAAGAGAATAACACGTATGTAAGAAAGAAGTTATAATGAATGTTGATATAGGAAAATTGGCACCAGTTTTCCTTCTGCAGAGAAAAAAAAACGAGAATTTATCTGGCTTTTATTTTATTTTGTTTTACTTTATTTTATTTATTTTTATTTATTTTTTTTTTTTTTTCAAGCGAGGAACTTGGGGCTGATTTCACAATTGTTTACATTTGGGAATAGCCAATTTCAAGACTTCATGAAAAAATAAGCCTCACTGACACCGGAGAATCTGCTGCCAATTTAGCCGACAAGAGTTATCTTTTCTTTGCTGCTTCCTTTCTTTCTTTTTTTTTCGTTTGTTAATTTAGTTTTTGTCTTTGTGTCCTTCTTTTTGTTGATTCTACAGATTACTTTCCTTTTTTTCTCTTTCTTTTTCTTTCATTTCTTTCTTTCTTTGTGCTATCTATTCCTTCTTTTTTTTGTTGATCCTACAGATTATTTCCGTTTTCTTTTTCTTTATTTTCTTTGCATTTTTTTTCTCTTCTCTCTGCTATCCCTTCCTTCGTTTTTTCTTCAATGTCCTCAACTTTGTCACCATATTTATCACAAAGTTTCGGCCGTTGTACGCTCCGGCCTTCTTCAGGTGGTTGGAATGTCGAACTGAATCCTTTCTTTTGCTCACTGGGTACACTGTTCTACTTCCATGGGTCATGTTTAATGGATGTCAGTTATCAGTTATCCCCTGTTAATTCCCCTCTCCAAGTTCTCCACTGCCTTAACCGGGTATTGAACTCACAGTCTTTGGGTTCTCTCACTGGATCTAACCAACGACTATCCACTGTGCCATGTGTCCTTGTAATAAATATGGCCGAAACGTTGTAATAAATATGACAACAAAAATGGGGGCAATAGTCCGAATAATGTAAATAGTGTACATAATACATCATCTCAGAAATATAGACAGATACTAAAAGGCCGAAACGTTGTAATAAATATGGCAACAAAAATGAGGACAATAGTCCGAATAATGTAAATAGTGTACATAATACATCATCTCAGAAATATAGACAGATACTAAAAGGCCGAAACGTTGTAATAAATATGGCAACAAAAATGAGGACAATAGTCCGAATAATGTAAATAGTGTACATAATACATCATCTCAGAAATATAGACAGATACTAAAAGGCCGAAACGTTGTAATAAATATGGCAACAAAGATGAGGACAATAGTCCGAATAATGTAAATAGTGTACATAATACATCATCTCAGAAATATAGACAGATACTGAAAGGCCGAAACGTTGTGATAAATATGGCGACAAAGACGAGGACAATAGTCCGAATAATGTAAATAGTGTACATAATACCTCATCTCAGAAATATAGACAGATACTGAAAGGCCGAAACGTTGTAATAAATATGGTGACAAAGATGAGGACAATAGTCCGAATAATGTAAATAGTGTACATAATACCTCATCTCAGAAATATAGACAGATACTGAAAGGCCGAAACGTTGTGATAAATATGGCGACAAAGATGAGGACAATAGTCCGAATAATGTAAATAGTGTACATAATACCTCATCTCAGAAATATAGACAGATGCTGAAAAGGCCGAAACGTTGTAATAAATATGGTGACAAAGATGAGGACAATAGTCCGAATAATGTAAATAGTGTACATAATACCTCATCTCAGAAATATAGACAGATACTGAAAGGCCGAAACGTTGTAATAAATATGGTGACAAAGATGAGGACAATAGTCCGAATAATGTAAATAGTGTACATAATACCTCATCTCAGAAATATAGACAGATACTGAAAGGCCGAAACGTTGTAATAAATATGGTGACAAAGATGAGGACAATAGTCCGAATAATGTAAATAATGTACATAATACCTCATCTCAGAAATATAGACAGATACTGAAAGGCCGAAACGTTGTAATAAATATGGTGACAAAGATGAGGACAATAGTCCGAATAATGTAAATAGTGTACATAATACCTCATCTCAGAAATATAGACAGATACTGAAAGGCCGAAACCTTGTAATAAATATGGTGACAAAGATGAGGACAATAGTCGAATAATGTAAATAGTGTACATAATACCTCATCTCAGAAATATAGACAGATACTGAAAGGCCGAAACGTTGTAATAAATATGGTGACAAAGATGAGGACAATAGTCCGAATAATGTAAATAGTGTACATAATACCTCATCTCAGAAATATAGACAGATACTGAAAGGCCGAAACCTTGTAATAAATATGGTGACAAAGATGAGGACAATAGTCCGAATAATGTAAATAGTGTACATAATATCTTATCACAGAAATATAGACAGTTTTTCTATTTGTTCTTTATTTAACATTGCATTTTTATTTAATGAATAACATAGCACAAAAAAGAAAAAAAAAAGGCAGTTATATTTATGTGTGTACAGATAAGTTAAATAAGAAAATGAATGCGATGTACATAGCCATGCAGTGTGTGTTTGATGTGCAATGTTCACGTGGTTCGTTTGAAATTCGCTAGTCAGTTTACCGGGTTGCAAATTTTTTCCGTCTGCGGAGTCAAATTCCGTATTGTCGCTACTATATCTCGGCGATGAAAGAGAGAGAGAGAGAGAGAGAGAGAAGGAGAGAGAGAAGGAGAGAGAGAGAGGTTATGCAGCTTCCTTATATGGTCCAGAATAGAAATTCAAGTAGAAGATTTCCTGCCAAACAAGGTAGGTAATCCCTACAAATAATACGAAAAGAGTAGGGATGAATGATCACTTCGGGCTTGAACTCTGAACACTGTGATTTCCCATGTTATATATATATATATATCTCAAACTGTCCACATATGTTTATATCTGTATGAGCGGACGAGCAAGTGTGTATGTATGTCTGCGTACCTCATCGGGTGTACGGACATGCATCTATGTTTGCGTTAGCACGATGACATCACAACGACGATTCCACCCCCCACTCCCATAATAATATCACCAATACACGCAATCTACATAAACCCAAATTTTGTTTGATGATCGCAAAAGCGTGAAACCCAGTGTCACAAACTCATCAATCCAACCATATATATATATATATATATATATATGGTACAAAATGACAATTGGAAAAATCTTAGATTTTGCCGACGCGTTTCGTCTTCCGACTTTTACAAGGCAAAAACGTAATCGAAATGTTTTTGTTGGTATAGCCTCCCGCTCTTTTTCCACCCCCCCCATGACACTCTCTCTCTCTCTCTCTCTCTCTCTGTATATATATATATATATATATATATATATATATATATATATATATCTTGCCCTTCTCTTATATAGAAACCTTATTTTAAAACCTCTATTTCTCCTTCTCATTACTGAATCTATTTTCTTTTTTTCCCTATCTTCTACACCCTTTTGCGTTTTTTTTTTCCTTCTTCTTTTTCTTTCTTTTTTCTTTCCTTTTTTCTTTTTTTTTGTTGTTGTTCTTTTTTGCTTGTGCCTGGATACATTTAAAATCCATTTATTGTTAAATTTTGGGGTCTGAAGTGATGGGATTTGTCCCGTGAAATAAATTATTACCAATTGATTTCAAAGGACTCCTCTTTTATTATTATTATTATTATTATTATTATTATTATTATTATTATTAGATAGATAGATAGATAGATTCTTTTAAACGTAATTTTAGTGGACACTTCTTATTTGAAATAGACGCCCTAGATCTTTTATTTATTAAACTGTGTGTTTTACCTCTATGGGTCTATGCAATCATAAAACTTTAGCAAAAAACATACATACATATATATATATATATATATATATATATATATATATATATATATATATATATAATATTTTTTTTTTAAAAATATGATTCCTTCAACTACATAAGAGTTCTCATGTTTCAAAAACGAGGCAAAAACCATCCAAATAATTATTAAAATTAAGTTGAATTAAGCTGTTTAGTCCCGTTTCATTTTCAAGTGAATTTTTAATTCAACTTAATTTTAATAATTATTTGGATGGTTTCGGCTCTCGTTTTTGAAACATGAGAACTCTTATGTAGCGAAGGAATCATATTTTTAAACAAAAAAATATTTTAATATAAGCTCTACTTCTGTATGGGGCACTGTCTTCTTAAAGATAAAAACAAAAATACTAAGGAACTCCGGATTATACACCCAACGTGTTCTTTTCTCTTTTCTGCATACCTGCGCACTTATATATATATATATATATATATATATGGAGAGAGAGAGATAGATAGATAGATAGATAGATAGATAGATAGATAGATAGATAGATGTGTGTGGGAATTAT